CGCCGCCGGCCGCCGCCGCCGCTCCCGCCGCCCCCGCGTCGCGTCGGCCGTGAGCGGGCTCCACAGGCGCCCAACTTGCCCGCCGCACGACTTCCACTCTACTCGGAGCGGAAGGCCCCTGGAAAGCTTTTTTTTTTTTTAGTTTAGGGGCCACACTCCAGACTCGAGGCCCCGCCGGCTCTGCTGCTCCCGCTCGCGAACACACTTTGGGACAGGGACAAGGGCAAGCCCCAGAACCACCCCAGGAGAGGGCGGAGCGCTCCTGCGCCCGGGGCAAGGGGCAGGCCGCGCCCACACCCGGAACGGAACGTTGGGAGCAAGGTTTAGGCACGTCGCAGGGGGGCACCCGCGAGGGACGGACAGGAAGAGGGCCAGGGGGGAACGCCAGCACCCAGGACCGCATTACGGAAACGGCCCAGGGCTTGGCAGCCTTCAGATCCGGGGATGGAGGGAGCCGGAGAAGAGGAGTGAGGAGGCCGGGGAGGCAGGCCCTGCTGACCTCCTGAGGCAGGCAGCCTGCTGGCAGTGAAGGGCCAGGCCGCCAGGAAAAAAAAAAGGGAGCAGGAGGTCGAGCTGTGGCTTTGAAAGCTCAGCTTCCTTCGGAGAGAGAGCTGCAGGCTCTTGCTAGTTCAGGGCTCGGGCCTGGTTCGGGTTTTCGACCAGGAAACAAAAATCAATTCTCTGGTGGGAAAAGTGAATGAGTCAGAGCCCAGACTCAGGACAGGGCTTAAACACTCCAAAAACCAAGTTAGGGGTAGAAGTAAAGCCCTCTTAAGCCCTCTAGGGCAGCTCACAGATTAAGGCTGGGCAGGGGGCTTCAGATCCTCCCCTAGTGCAGTGGGATTGGCGAGTCAGACGCTTGTAGATCGAAGGTTGGATTGGGGAGGGGTCTCTGGGTCGTTGGTTTGCTCAGCAAGGATTGGGGGGATTCAGGTGCTTAGAGATCGAATTCAGGCCTTGGGTAGGGGGAGTCAGACAATTGGAAAGCCTAGGTGGTTATTTGGGGAGGGGTCTTCGCGTTTGGTGGAGAGCATAGCTGAGCTTTTACAGCACTCAGGCCTGGGATCTCGTCCAGAGGGGCGTCTGTGAAAGGGTGGGCCAGCCAGGCCAGACCAAGAGGGAGAAAGTGAATAAATCGGACTCTGAGTGGGTGGGGGGCACCCTGAGAGGGGGGTCACAAAGGGTGAGCCATGGCCACCAGGCGTTTAACCGACGCTTTCTTGTTGTTGCGGAATAATTCCATCCAAAACCGGCAGCTGTTAGCCGAGCAAGTGAGTAGTCACACCACCTCCAGCCCTCTGCATTCACGTAGCATTGCTGCGGTGAGTCTCCCGGCGGCCTCTCCGACCCCCGCGCCGTGTGCACTGCGGCAGTGCCTGTCTTGTCTGTCTGTCTGTCTCTCTGTGTCAGAAAAGAGGAGCAGGGTCAGCCTGGAGCGGAAGCGCGCGGCTTCGAGGCGGCAGCCGTCTAGGATCCTCGACGGGAGGTCGGCGTCGGGCCGCCCCCGCCCGGCCAGCGCCCGCCTGCGCGCCCGCAGCCCTCCCCGCGCGGCCCCCTCCGCCGCGGCCGATTTGCATACGCTCTGGCCCCGGGATTTGGGGACGTCGAGCATCGCGGATGCCTTTTCGGTGCTGTTTTGTTGTCAGCGCTCGCGCCCGCCCCCAGGAGAGCCTCCGTTTGGCTGCAGCAGCCTCCGCGTGCTCTCAGAACCAAGCCCTCGAAGGCGAGGGGCTCCCCGTCCCCCCCAGCGGAGCAGGGCGTCGCGGCGGTGTCTGTGTGTCCAAGCGTGTGTCCCCAGCTGCCCCCGCCCCCCTCCGTGGTCGCACAGTCCTCTGTGTGGCCGTGTGCTTCCCTGGGAATAATTGCTTCACTGTTTTTTTCTCCGAGGCTTGTGCTTGTGAGCCTGCAAGGTGCGAGGTTCTTCGTTTTCCAGACAGGAAATTAATCTTTTCCCTCCATTCGAACTTTTTGAAAAAGCATGATGTGCATGTGAAAATTCGAGGTCCCGAGTAGCTCTCGATTTATTTATTTATTTCCTTATTAACCAGACCTTTCAGTTAGCCTAGCCCTAGAATTTGTGTCACTTGTTTCTTGGTGCACTAAGGCTCTGGAGAGAGTGCTGTTGGGGGTTTGTTTTCGGGGGGGGGGGCTGCTTTCCTTTCTGAGTCTTCAGGCTACTGGTGGGTTAAATAAGGGGGCAAGACCGGGTGGTGGGCATAGGATGGGGGTTATTATTAGCTCGGTGGTATCCTTAACTGCAGAGGGAAGTTAGGAGGCTCGCTGGAGGGGGCTGCCTGCCATAGACAGGGTAGACGTCAGTGCAAACAGCATTGAGCGGAAGGAAACTGTTGTCCCAAGACCTAATCTTTGAGGATTATGCTGGAAAATACAGTTTTTGAAATCCCATGCTAATTCGCCCCTTAGGAAACGTATTGCTTTTTATCTTTTTCATTATCATGTATTGAAATCCTCAATAGAAAAATGATGTTGTGTGTCATGATTATTGACATGTCTACTGAGACGGTTTTTCCTCCCTTAGAGTCCCAGTGGGAAATCGCTTTGACCATATACTCATGGGAAAGCGATTTTTTTAAGGCGTGTGAGCAGTTTTAGGAATGCAGGGGTACAACCTCTGGTGAAAAAGCGTAGAAAGCAAGGATGGGTGTGTTTGCATTTTTATTTACATAAAAATGTGAAGATTTTTTTCTCATATTTATAGACTGAAAAAAATGATACCATGCAGAAATAAGCATAAAGGTAACCCTGTTTGGAGGGAAAATGGCAAATGCTAGTGCTGATCTGAAATGCCCCGAAGTAAGGGCAGAGATAGAATGGAAATTGAATGAATAAAAATTTTCAGTGGATCTTTAGTTATTTTAAATAGAAAGAATCTCATGTTCATTAAACCACTTGGGTTTATATTAGCTTGCATGGGGGGCTCTAAAGCATGCATTAATGCTTTGAGGGTCTCAGTTCGCATTGATTGAAAAACATATTGTTTGTTTTAAAATTTTTAATCATATAAAGTTCAGCATACCCTGAAGCTTCAGGTAACATGAACAAAAAAATATTTTTAAGTGCCATTCAGACAATTTAAAAATCTTGTGTTGTCAGATGCGGGCAGCTTTTTAAAAGTATATTTCTAAATCAAACTTTTTAAAAATGGTTTTCTAAGTTAGACAATTTTTTAAAAATTCATAAGTTAACTAATAATTAACAATGGATAAACTACATAGGAAAAAATAGTATTTCCAGAAATGTACATATATATTTAGCTAATTCAGAGAATTTCTTGAAAGCAGATTTCTAAATTCAACTAAAAATACATATATAAGTTAGAACATTTAAAATGTTTTTATATTACACCACTGAAAATATTACATGCTTATATCAGTATAAGCATTGAAGATTATTCTACTAGTCTGAAAAGCAGTCGGGTCATTTGAAATATCTGTGTAATTTACTAGACCGTCTAAAAAATAGATTTTGCAATGTAACAAAAATAGTCTGCCTAAGTTAGAATTTAGAAAAAGCATACATTTATGTATTTTAAATGTTTACATTAAAATACAAATGATGTGTCATAAATTTCTGAAGTATTTAAAGGCAAAGCATTACTTCAGTTAATTTACGAGTGATTTAACAGGAATCAACACATTCTAACAAAATCAAGGGTGACAAGGTGGTAAAATAAATAGAGAATATAGTTTTTTTTTCAATTTTTCTGAAAGTTAGAAAAGTATTGGGAACATTTTAGAGAAAAAGACATGCCAAAGATAATTTTTAAAACCTGTATTGAGCAACTCGTGTTTCTCACGGCATATGTAGCTCTCAGAAATTTTCAAAGCTTCTTTTCTGACTTGTAAATTGTAAAGCCGTGTAGCAAATTAAAACTATGTCTGTAAAATTTAAATATGGACTACATATAAGGTGGTATTGAAAATTATAAATTAGATTAATTATAAGCAATTAAATTTGTTAATTTCATTAGCAGCGACTGCTAAAATGCTTAGTACTGAAATGTCAGGGTTGCTATTACTTGTTTTAAGCACTTAATGCCCCTCAAAGGCAGAGGAAGCAAATAAGGCTAAATGTTACTAATTGTTAAGTCTGGTGATGAATATATAGGAAGGCATTTTACCATTTTACATGCTTTTCTGCATGTTTGACCAATTATAAATGAAAACACAATAAATTTGTCATAGTAAAGTACAATTATTAAAAAGAGACAATTTACCAATATATGTATGTTACCTGATAATTAAAAAAGGAAATAACTAAACCTGGGTTTAACTTAATTTTTTAAAATCATAAATTAGATTTCCTCATTAGAAAACTAAGAAGTTGACTTTGGATTATTTATTTTCTTATTAACAATTAAAAGTAAATTGCCTACAATAGTAGATTTTTTGAAAATGTAGTCATGAATTTCACATCCTTGAAAAAGATGCAGAAATGGATTGTAAAGTGGCATGTGCATATATATGTGTGTGTCTATATAATATAAATCTCACATACCTCAAAATAATACATACTTCAAGCTTTTCATTAAAAATTTATAGTTAGATTTTTTTAAATACTAGTTTGAAGAAAAAACTCAAAGATTATTGGTGATGGGGATTACTGTAGATACCCATACGGGCTTACGGATTCAGGCGGCATTCAGGCAAAAGCAAATTTGTCACCGATAATGAGTAATTTACAAAAGATGTGCAGTAGCAAAGCAAACAGCCCCAAGGGTCAGAGGGACCTAGGGGTCTTCAGCCTAACATTCTCATTTGTGAAAACCCCTTAAATTCTAGCAGCTAGTCCTCCATGCTTTTTACTAGTAAAGTGTCTCTCCTGTCACCACCCGGTAATATTCCCGTCTCCCATCCTGGAGTCCCCGGTTGGTTCCAACCCTCCATGAGGGTCTGCAGTGCAGGAAGCCTCTTCCTCTTGCACCCTGACCCTGCAGTCTTATTACTGGAGTTTTGTTTTTTGTTGTTGTTGGTTTTTTTTTTTTTTTTCCCCTAGGCTTAGAAATCCCGGCTCAGACGTACAGTGTTTTTTTTTTCCCCCTATGAATAATTTTTAGTCTTTCTGGTATATTTTTTAAAATGCAACACTTAGCATTGAATAAAATTCTACTTACTTGTGGGGTTTTTAAATTGTGCTAATAGGAAAATTAATTGTTAAAAACAGATTGGGCTTTGGTTGTAGCCTCTAAGCAGAATGCACTCACGGGCAATTTTCAAATTCTCAAACAATTTTGTTTTGGCCTCAGTTTTTGTACCCGGTAGGTTTATGCTTCAGGACAGCATAAAATAAAAAAAGTGTAATTAGACAATGAGTCTGGGAATTTAGGGTGAGTCCTCATCTATACTGGACTTCATTTTTTTAAGGCATCTTTCATCCCGTTTGTAAATTGAGTTTGAGGTGATTTTTAGTGGCTCTATCAATTTAATAATTTTTCTCAAATTCTGTCTTAATACATTCTTTCTCATGACCAAAGCACACAGCCTTAGCTTTAATTTTGAAGAGGAGGAATCCATAGTAGCCACAGTACTGTGGCTGTCAGCCCAGGTTACTGGCAAAATCCTTAAGAGTAGCCACCATACCATGCAAAAGTAACTTTGGCGTTTCCTCAGCCAAGTGCCCGGCCGTGTGCAGGCTGCACTCATGCAAGCATTTAAGCAGTTAAATTTAAGCCAAACATTCACAGTTTGGCTTTGAGAACCTAAAATGGCTTTATGAAATTAAATACTCATTTTTTAAAAAGTGTGAAGTCTTCCATGAATGAATGAAAAGTGGAAGTTAGTTGCTGCTCTGATCTGATGAGATGCTGGATGATTTTTTTTTTTTTTTTTAATGAGGAATGAATCTAATGCAGGGGCTGCAGCTAGTTTGTTAGTGTTTACTGCCTAATCTATACTCTGCTGTAAAATAATGCATAATCTATAAATGGAAGCTAGAGTTAATTGGTCTTAGATTAGTTTGAGACTAGCACATTATTTTTAATAAAACTTGTGCTTTATGAGAAAAAAAAATCAGGATTGACTATGATTATAAGAAACCCCAGATCCTTATTCAGTCTTGATGACATCATTAGTTAAGATTTTTGGGCACTTGCTGTATGCCTGGCACTGGTCGGAGGCCTTTCTGTGAAACCTCATGTCACTGTCAGTGTCCATCAGCAGGTGTCGGGGGAAGAGAAACCGAGGTGTAGAGGAGCTGGAAACCGAGGAAGTGGCCAAGCCCCCGAGAAGGGTCTGCAGGCGGATTGCCCCCGCCCCGTGCCCCCAGTGTGGCACCGTGCCCTCTCTCCAGACCACGCTGCAGCTGGCTGTTTTCCAGGACTGAGGCTTTAGATCCTGGAAAATGCGAGGGCTTAATATTTAAATGCATTTTATTTTTCTAGCAATAGAGAAGCATCTTTATCTCTCTCTTTACCGCCTTCTCCAGTCAATTTTAACCCGCACATCCAACGTTCTCGAGCTTTAGGTCGGACCGAGTCTGCTGGAAAATCAGTTCAGTGTCTTTAGAATCCAAGGATGAAATCATTGTATATTTCTCTGTAGATCTATTTGCTTTTCTGCTTTTAAAGGTTCCATTTGAGCAGTGAGGCTTACTTGAGAATAAGGATACTTTGTTGGATAAGAGTGAAGCAAACTTTTATTTTGGCAGTAGGGGAAATAAAGTAAATATCACTATAGACCTGTATTTCCAACTCATTTTGCTCAACTTTTCCAGACTTCCTGAGTGAACACAGATGGGTTTCCAGTTATTTTTCAGTTTTATGTAGAAAGTTCTTTAGACTATAAATTCCACATGCTACTTAGAGTTTTCAATATTTGCCTGATTTCATGCCACTGGCAGGCAGGTCAAAACCCTAGATTTAAACATTACAGAGATTTAGACGGTGATGATACGTGGCAACATGTTTTCATTCTGCTGTATTTTGGTCTTTTCTGATGATAATTCTAAATATTTTAATTCAAGTGTTGACTAAATTTACTGGTAATTTTGGGGCAGGGGGAGTTTTGTAAGCTTTCTGTTTTTAAGCAGCCAAATGGGGAGGGTCTTTGGAAAGATGGCCGCAGGTTTAATTCCCACTATGGTGTGGGAGCTGCCTGTCACAAGCAGTTCTCTGAATTGTTAATAAAAGCAGAGAGCTGCAGGGTGGGGTGCGAAGAGGTCTGGACACCTGGGGCTGTCCCTGTGTTAGCCATTAACAAGCTCTGTGACTCCAGAGCATGCATTTATACATTTTGAAAGTTTTCTTATTTGTAAGAAAAGAGATGCTTCTACCCTAGAATCTCATGATTCCAATTATCATCTGATAATCGTAGAAATCAGAAGATCAGGATGCGTGCACTCGGTTAATAATCCGACAGCACATGCTCCCGCGTAGCAGAGATTTTGACCATGGTTTGCCATGATAGTTTGTTCAGAGATTAAATGCCAGGGAGCCACTGTAGAGGGGAAGAGGCGACTGCTGCATGCAGAGCTCTTGCCTTGGCTTTTCTTGATAAAAGATGTCCATGTTCTTTCTGGAAACCTTAAGCTCTTAGAAAATAGAAACATTTTTCCTGTGTAAAGTAAAACATAATGAGATCAGCCGTTGACACTGTCTTTTCTGTCCGTACCGTCTAGCACCACTGATAGGGCAGCATGTGTGTAGAAGTAGCTCTTTCCTCAGCAGTTGAGGACGTGAGGAGGCTTCTCAGCCTTCCATAATGTCAGCTAGCTGGTATTACACGGAGCGTTGTGGGATTACATTTTATTGCTATAATTGTGTAGTAATATTTTGACAGCTTCATTTGCTCTAATTTTTAAATAAGAAAATTAATGTTTTTGATGCTCTAAATTTATGGCTTAACATAAACAAAGATGGTTGGTAATTGAGATTCACCACTAATTATTTTTGTGATCAATATTGTAAAAGAAAAAAAAAAAATCCTAATTTAGGTTACCTGTCATTAGTAACTGTCCAGAAGATAGAGTTCGGCCTTGATCTAAAAAAAGAATCTTTAGTTTTCTATTGAAACTTAACCCTTGGGTGCCAGTTTTTCCTCATCGCTCCTTTTGTTGTCTTGTTTGCTTGCTTTTATTATAGCTTTATGAACAGCGGTGGGCTTTTTAGACTAATAGTATTACATGCCAAGCAAATGCTAAGAGTTTTGCTTTGATTTTCCCACCTGTGTCTCTCTGGGAAACAGCGGTTTTCAGCGCTTGCCGCGGATAAAGCCATGTCCTCGGGGTTTAATTTGTAGAGCTCTTACATACGTGGTCGCTCGGGTGCTGCCTCGGTGTAGCCGTGGACAGTTCTGTGAACGATCCTTCTGTCACCGGGCTGCGTTTGCAGGGCCACCTTACGTGTGCCAAGGTGCATTTATGCTGACCAAGTTGCATTACATTTGTTCTCTGCTGAAGGAAATTTAGAGTGTTATGTATTGTATGTGATATTTGATATTTATGAAACAGATTAGCAGTATACTTAAGTGAAACCAAAGCAAGTATGTTTTGTTTCCAGTGTTTTAATTTTTATAACTATTTATTGCTTGTTTCTATTTATTGCTTGTTACTAAAATAACAACCACAGTAAATAAAAATATATATGGATGTAGTTGTTTTTGTTTTTGTTTTTGTTTTTTTTAAGAAAGGAGAAATGGGAAGGGGACATTTTTAAATGTTGTGGCTAGTGGGTCTTTATTTTTAGTCAGTTTAAGGGTTGCCTAACACTGTTTTCTCGCCTGATGGTGCCTTGTCTGTCTGTCTGCCCCTGCCTGCCTTCCTGCTGTCCCCGCCTGGACGGGCCTGGTGGCAACCACACCCACAGGAGCTGGACGAGGTACTGTGTTTTGGCTACTTCTATATGTTAGGTAGTTTTAGTTTGTGAAATAGCTGTTTCCCTGCAGTCTCTGGTCATATATTAACAAAAGTTATACATATTTTAGCATTTGTTTTGATTACTTTATAATGTGTTTAACAATTTAGTATTTAGAATTTGTTTAGTGTGTTTTCACACCGTGTGGGCTGATAATTGGAAAGAGGTCTAAGAGCTTTATTTACCTCTCTCGGGAAATGTCTCAACTTCCGACGCAGGCAGGCTTGAGTGTTTTTCTGAGCACGACGGACGGCACACTGGGATGATGTCAGTGGCCTTCTGATCTCCGAGAGCAGCGTGACGCAAGTGCCCAGGTACATCCGCAGAGCGGTGACGAACGTGCCCGGGAGGGCGGGCGCCCCTCCTCGAGCTTCCGGCGCTAGTCACCCTGGAGAGCGGCTGTCCCTGCCGGAGGGTCGCTGTGTACTCACCACCCACCGGCGGACTCACTCCCCCTCACGGCTCCGGAAGGCGGAGGCCTGTACCTTGACAGCACTTGACTGTAGCAGCACCACTGGAAGGGCAGGGGACGTCCGAGAAGAAACTGCAGTTGTTCTGCTTGTGTGTCCTTGGTCCTTCTCCTCAGTGAAGGGGCGACACTTTTTCCTGAGGGGAAATTTTTTTTTAAAAAGTAGAAATTTGGTTTGTATTAATTTCTCAGTTTATATGGTAAGGCAGGACTAGGATTGTTGCCTTCAAAACTCCAGGGACCTATCTCGCAAATTAGATCTACCTGTAAAAACTAAACTAGTTGATAATAGCAGTAGGCTGAACACCACTTAAATACTCCTCCTGGGGAACAAATTAAATAAGTTACATGGCTTGGCATGGCGGTGCACACCAGTAATCCCAGCACTTGGGGGCTGAGGCAGGAGGACTGCTGTCAAGTTGAGGCCAACCTGGGCTACAGAGTGAGTTCAAGACCAGTCTGAGCTACCTAGTGAGACCCTGTCACAAACAGACAAGCAGGCAGCGTCGTGTCTGTGCTCCTGTAAGCGGACGAAGCCGTCTGAAGACTGCGTGACACGGGCTTCCAGACGCAGGGCCAAGTAGGAGGGTAGCTAGATGCCGAGTGTGGGTAATGTGACACCGCCCCCCTTGAGAAAAGGAATATTTAGCCTTGTGTGTATATTTAAAAATTCTAAAAAGCTACACAAGAAACCAGTAACAGTAGATACTTACCAAGAAAAGTCTAGGCTGTTAAGAGAACTTCCTTTTCCTTTCTATTGCAAACTTTTTCTTAGGGTGAGAACATACTTTTACTGTATTAAACATATTTTTAATAAGTAATTCACATGTGTTCATGACTTTGTCACAGTCAACACAACCTCAGGCAGCAGCTCGCTGAGCAGGTGGCAGTCAGGCCTGAGTGAGAATCCCAACCCATCCACGAGGCTCCCTGCCAGCACTGGGCCTGGGGGCATGGGTTCCTGCCCAATCACACACAGTGAGGTGGAGCGTCTGTGGGGTTCAGCGGATGTGGATAGATTTGCTGACCAAACTGACAAGGGTGGTGAGTGTGGAGTGTGGATGCTGCTTTTCACCAGGTGTTTTGCAAATTTAGAAATTATCTCACGCACACACACACACACACACACACACACTCCAAGGCAGCGTACGATGGGGAAAGAGCAAATGCTAGAAGGATGTAGGGTGGAGAGACACTGGTGAGGTTGTAGTGGGCAGGGTGCAGAAGTGCCCCTGAGGGTCTAAGTAAGGGGCACCTTTTGCTCCATTTCTAGTCTTCACACCTCTTAGGTGGCAAGTTCTAGAAACTGGCCATGCACTGTGCAAACCAGCAGGCTGTTTGCTTTTCTTTTGCTACGTCTCTGAGAAGGGGAGGCTTTTACTTTGCGACCAGAGGCCTGGTGTGGGGCCCTCTTGACGATGTGGTGTCCTCACCTGCCATCCAGTCTTCTCGAGTGGCTGTGCAGTCACCCCACTGCCTCGTGCATTTCACATGCTCCTTTTTCTGTGTTCTCAGGGACACTGTCCTTCATGAGTGAGCTTCCTAAATTGTACATGTTATGTGTTAGTACCTTCATTCATTCATTCCATCCACCCACCACTCTCTGTTGATGCACTCATTCATTGTAATTGTGGGTTCATTACTGTGACGTGCCAGCGCTGCCCTAGCTGCTGTGGACATGCCTGGGAATGGTGCTAGTGGCTGGCTTCACCAGGGCAGTGTAGGCTTCACAGTGGTGTCTGGGGCTGGTAGTGCCCATTATGTATGTGTCCAGAGGAAAATCCTCTGTCTGATGGCTTTGCAGGCCCTTGATGCTAGCCAGCCACTCTTGCTGTTCCTAGAGACACCACCTTCTTCCTGAGAAAAGGCTGAGTAGAGTAAGGTGTCCCCTGAGGAGAGGCAATCTCTCCTGTGACTAACTCCCAAGTTGTTTTTAAACTTCAACATAGAAACTAAATAAAAAAACCCACAAGGTATACATGTCAGGCTGCGCAACCGTACAGCTTGGGGAGGTTGAGGTGATGTGGTAGACGTCAGGGCGCAGCCAGCTGCTCACAGTGTGAGACCCAGGAAGGCCCTGCCGCAGTTGTGAAATAGGGAGCAGCCCCCTTCTGAAGGATGGTCCCCAAGACCAGGGCAGGTCAAGCCGGGAGAGGGCACAGTGCGCTGTGGGCTCGTGTGTGTGTGTGTGTGTGTGTGTGTGTGTGTGTGTAAGAGAGAGAGAGAGAGTTAGTTAGTTTATGGGGAAAACAGTCAATGAAAATAGCAATGTATTTCTTCCATGAGCAAGGTCTTCTCCATACTGTCTGGTACTCTTAACAGGGACAGATGTCCACATTTCCTATCTGAAATGAATCAAGGGCCGGAGGTAACTTGGGGAACCCAGTGCTGAAAGCCTTTGGGGCATGCTGTTTGGAGCCTGTAGGCGGTTTCTTTGTGCCCCACAGGACAGTGACTCTGAGCTAGGGGAATCCCCTGCTGCCCCTCAGTTCCTGGAGGACCAAGCCACAAGTGAAGGACCTAAGAAATCTTCAGTTTTTAATTCTAAGGCTAGCTTTCATAACATTTTTTTCTTATTTAAAAGATATATAAAAATAAAAATAAAACAAGATATAGAAAGATGTTTTTTATCTTCAAAAGTATGCTTGTTTAAGAAGAGGTTTAATAACCAGTATGTATTTTTGGAGAGGGGACTGAGTTGACATTACAGAAGAAAATGATAAATCTGGCAATTTTTTAAGGTCTATATGGAATAGGACGGCGACTTGAAAATTGATATAAAAAGAAAAAAATTGTTATGTATGCTGGATCCTCACCAAATAAGAAAAGGTTTTGGAAGTTGAAAGGTGATTATTTTGCACTTAAAATGTATTTTTGTGTTCATATTTGTCTCCATTTTGGATAGTTGACATTTATTTTCAATTGTTTTCCTTTCCCAAAACATGCCATCTTCTTTTTTAATAATACATACTGTGATACGCATTATAAATTGCCACCAATAAGAGAAATGACATTTCTCCTCAGTAGAGCAGCACTTTCAGCACGATGAGCTATGGCCTTAGATTCTATCATAAAGGGGACAAATGATCTGCTGTTTAAAGCTTGCAGTCCTGAGGAGTCAGCTGTGCTTTTACCGCCGAGCCTGAGGCGGTGTGCACAGCCCACAGCCAGCTGGCCGGGTGGCAGCTGGCCGTCCAGGAGGGTCCCCTTGTTTGCAGCCTCCTTAGGACGCGGAGAAGAGCACATTCTCCCCAAGTTTTATTTATATCTAATTTTGGGGAACGTATTTTTTGTATAAAATAAAGCACTGTTTAAAGGAGCTGAACCCACTTCAGTCAACTATTCATTGTGGTTTTTAATTTCTTATTTTTTTATATAAAATGATACAAGTCACAGTGTAGGTAAATTTAGATAGAGCTGTGTCTTCTACGCATCTTCTTTAATGTGTTTTTGTAAGCAGTAAAAAGCAGTACAACTTATTTTGTTCTTAAACTTACAAATAAAGTCACTATAAATCAAACAAGTCATTGTTCTGCTGAAATATGGTACCTCAACAGAACATGATGGAGGCTGTGATTCATCAAAAGGTATACCTAGGCAGGCACTCTGTAAGTTTTGCTTTGTATAAACAGTTGGAGTTACAAATTCAAGTTCTGCCCTAGCGCAGCAGTAACTCTTGAGTCCACCATGCCTACGCTTGGCCAAGTACTGCCCTCTGGGCCTGCAGGCTTTCCTCTGCTGCAGTCTGTGTGCCCTGCACCCAGCACGTAGTGGCTTTGGAGCATGACCGCGGTGGGCAGGATGAGCAGCTCTGCCTCTAACCTTCTGGCTGCAGCCCCTACCCCTCCCGTGTGCCCGCTCCACAGATGGCCCCGCAGGTAGGCCTGGGTTCCTGACGCTTACGTGCGCTTACGTGCCCGACCGGGCCTTGCCTCCAGCGCCTGTGCAGTTGGTGGGGGCTTAATCACAGTACTGGGTTGTGTTGTTCTCATCTGATGGTTTATCTTGATTCATTTTCTTGGCAAATTGCAGTTTATTTCATGGGCCTCCCAGAGTGACTGGCAGCCGGAGGGTGGAAAGGGTGTCTGGAATCCATTGACTCAGGTTTTAAACTGTCACCTCAGAGCTTAGTAGCCTTGGGCAAGCTACTTAACTTTCTCTGGGCTTCAGTTTCTCTGTCTGTATAGTAGAAGAGTATTTCCTAGCTTACCTAGTTTTTGTGACAATTAAAATAATAAAAAGGATTTAAAATTCCTATTAGTGAACTCTTAAAAACAAAAGCTGGTGGGGGAGGGTGAGAATTCCCACCCGTGATGCAGAGCTGCAAGCAGTGCAGATGTTGACCGCCATTATTTAAGAATAGAAGTGACTCTGGGCCAGCACTGGCCCACAGGCCTCCGTGGATGACTCCTAGCTCCCAGGTACTCAGGGCAGGGGCTACGTCAGGTGAACCCCTTGTGTGGCCTGGACCTCCCTGGCTCATGGCATGCTGGGAGCCGAGAGGGCTGCAGGCCCCAAGGAATTTTCCTGGGAACCCTCTGGTCAAGGTTTAGGGTTCATTGCTTGAAGACTTCTGAATCTAGGTTTTCCCTGATGCGGTATTTTTATTTCCCCTTCATCTGTGGGTTTTAAAAGTTTGCCTGTTCCTTTATTGTTTGGTAAGCACATATTTAAGCCAGGTATTTTTGTTTCGTTTTGTTTAGGTAAGCACATATTTACCAAATTAATTTAAAAAAATAAATTTAGTTACAGGGAAGAAGGCAGTAAGAATTCCTCACCCAGTTTTATTAAACATTTACAAAATGTCATCTATAAGGGACTTTTTATAGATTGTTTCCCCTGATTATCATTTGGATCCTTTGAGACTAGCATGTCAAAATTCTGAGCTCCGGAGCCGGGCCTGGTGGCTCACTCTTGGGTTCTGCACTATGGGAGGCTGCTGATGGTGGCTGTCAAGTGCAAGGCCAGGCTGGGCAACTCAGAAGATTGGCAAGACCCTGTCCCAAAACATGACAGAAACGAGAGCCAGAGCTGTAGCTCAGTGCTAAGAACCTAGGTTCAATCCCCAGTGCTGAAAAAGAAAAGAAAGGAAAAGGAAAAAAGAAGAAAACATTTTGTATTCCTGATGGGCACGTCAAGATGCTGTCAGCTTGTTCATTGCCTCCAGCCAAAAAAAAAAAGAGAGAGAGAGAGAAATCCTGTAGACCTATGATTTTCCACCTGTTCTTTTGAAAGCTTGCTTAGGCAGTATAGCATCATTTCAAAGTAAGAAAAAAATATCGGGGGCTGGGGAGATGGCTCAGTGGTCTAAAGCACCTACTTAGAACAAGCTTAGCAAAGCACAGGGACCGCCGTTCAATCCCCCAGCACCACATGCCAGCCAGCCCGCCCCCAGGTGGGCTGAGCTGGCCACACACACACACACATAAATAAATAAAAATTTTTTTAAAAAAAGAAAGAAAAATATTGCTAGTGGATGGTGAAGTGAGGAGCAGATGTGGGGGCCGGGGTGACAGCGGCTTGGAAGGCCGGCTCTTGCTGGGCGGGCTGTGTGCCCTGCTATCGGAAGCTCCTTCACACCTCTTAGCAGGTGCTTGGTGGTGGTGGATTAGGGTACTGGATCAGCAGTACTCCTAAAACTCACTAAGTGAGCATAAATAAACCTTGCTGCTGTCAAAAATTTTATCTTGCTGGGGAGATGGCTCAGTAGAATAAGTGCTTCCCTGGCAAGCACAAGGGCTTGAGTTCAATCCCTGGTTCCGCAAAAAAAAAAAAAAAAAAAATTGTTCCATTTGTAACCAGTTATTTCCTTTAACTTTATCTTATCACATTAATTGCTGAGGTTCATGTCTTCTGTTGTAGTTCTAGTTCTAAGATGTCTTTCTTTTAAGCATCTTCTGTTGACTTTTTCATTACATTTCTATAGGCAGACGAAGTCCGATCATGCTCCCAGCATGCTTAAGACAGCTAAGAACTGGTGCCTGAAAAGATTAGAAACAGTTCACTTCCTAGCCCTGTTACCCTTGCATTTTGCGTCCTCTTAGGGAATAACAGTTAAGAGAGTAAGGCTATCTTTCTTTGCACTGACTCCCAGTAATTCTTGTAATGTTCCTGTATTTTCTTGTAGCTTGCCGACGACCGCATGGCGCTGGTGTCAGGCATTAGCTTAGATCCAGAAGCAGCCATTGGCGTGACAAAACGGTCCCCTCCAAAATGGGTGGAGGGCGTGGATGAAGTAAGTTGAATGTTAGTTTCACAGTTCTATTTTTATGTGCAAATGCCAACATATTTTTAACACATCTGCAATATAAACTAATTTGTCTAGAGGGTACATAGTTAGAAATATCTAACCAGGTTTATTCATTTTATAAAACATAAGAAAAAGTTTTGTATATGTTAGTGATTTGGGTGTTAGTTTTAACAATGGTAGTAACTACCTCAATTATAGAAATTAAGCTGTACAAAAGAGAACAATAGATTTAAATTTTTTTTGGTAATTTAAATTAAAATTTGCTCATATATCAGTCAGCCAGCAGGTTCCCTGCAGACCCAGCATTGTGCTCTGAGTGTAGCTAATTGTCTCTGAAGCAGACAGCTACCTGCTAGGCGTGAGTGGAGTTCTGGTGACTTCGTTTGTCTAGATACAGTACGATGTCGGCCGGATTAAGCAGAAGATGAAAGAATTAGCCAGCCTGCATGACAAGCATCTAAACAGACCTACCCTGGATGACAGCAGCGAGGAGGAGCACGCCATTGAAATAACCACCCAGGAGATCACCCAGGTGAGGACACAGGCTGGTGCTAGGCATCCAGATGCCACCAAAGTGTCACTATTCTAAAGCAGTTGACAGACAGCTTCCTAGAGTTCCCCTTCCCAGCCGGACGTGCTCAGAGGGCTTTCTGGGGACCTCGAGGCCACCTGGTGTGCCAGCACACCTGTGTGATATCCCAGAGAGGGACTGTTGCTCAGTCATTGGTTTGTTGGTAGGTGCTACTATTGGTTGATTAAAGAAAAATTAAACTCAAAAGAGTACTCATGAACACAAACATTTGATTTAAAAACATCTAGTGCTCAAAACACTTATACTAAAATGTTGTTCTCATAATTGAAAGAAAGTTAGTATCCTATTGGCTGGTGATACAACTAGTGTTTAAGCTGGTATTTATGTTTTTGTCTAGATCTCCAGAGGATGATCGTGTGAAAGCATGAACCTGGTTCTTAGTGTAGCAGGGGGGACGTCTTTTCTTTCACCCCTCTGACTCTCTGGGTCCTAACTGTAAAATGGGGATAAAAATAATACGAGGCCCTGCCTCGTAGTTGCTTGCAGGGATCAAGGGACGAATGGCACGGCAGGATGTGGGGGCGCGCACAGCCTCTACATGAAGACTGAAATTCAGGGAGACGCCCTGTGTGCACAAATGAAGCCTCAGCTCTCTTCTGCTCACTCACTTTTCGCTAGGGTCGCAGGACAAACAGGCCGTTGTCCTCCTCCTGCTGTAGAGCGGCCCTGCTAGCACCCTTCTGCCCACAGCCCACGGTAGCTCTCCTGTTCTCGCAGCTCTTCCACAGGTGCCAGCGTGCCGTGCAGGCCCTGCCCAGCAGAGCTCGAAGGGTCTGCTCAGAGCAGGAGGAGCGGTTGCTGCGGAACGTGGTGGCCTCCCTGGCGCACACCCTGCAGGAGCTCTCCACCAGCTTCCGGCACGCACAGTCTGGCTACCTCAAACGTGAGTGCTGCCCAGCCTTACCTGAGGGATCTTTGAGTGGGGAAGCACTACTTTTTGGGGATTTGGGTGTGAGTTTTTTGCTTCTTTTTGTAAATGTTTCACCATGTAGTCTATACCTTTCCTTCTTAGCCTTTGAGCACATTCACACCTTTTCTAACAAAAGGAGGCTCCTCCCCCTGAAGACCCCCGCAGAGCGTGAACGCACAGCTCAGGGTGACGCAGCACTGTGCAGCTCTAAGCAGGAATTCAAAAAACAGTTGAGACTATTTTAAGAGCTGTTACTTTCTGATGTAGAGCTTAGGGAGCTGCTCATACGTAGGCCAGAACAGTTATAGTTTCAAGCCCCGTATCTGTATAGCAGTGAAAGCAATACGGGCCGCCGGCCCGTAGCACCCCAGGTGGTCCAAAGCCAGGCAGGCGCGTGCTCATCTTTCCTGCCCCGGAATTAGGGCTTTCCCGCGTTGGCGTTGTAGTCAGTGAAGTTGCCTACTCTGTACCCCCACCTTCCTGGTTCTGACAAGGGGCATATTTGTATTTTAACTTTATTTCTGGATTTGATTAGGCCCACTTGGAGTTCTTACTGGAGGTGCTCCCAGAGAGAAACACTGATTTTGTTGTTGTTGCTGTTCACGTTTTGTGACGGCAGTTAGAGTACATGTTTCTGCATTTCACTACAGATCCTCGAATGGTCGTGTCGTTCTTGTGTTGGCGTCCATTGAGCCGTGCCCCTGGGGAGCGTGCTCTGTCTTGAGTGACCCCAGCGCTTGCGTGACGCCTGTGCTTTCATGCTTCATTCTCCCCTCACCCCTTCCCCCCGGAGATGGGCTCCTCCAGAGTTCTGAGATGTCAGCTTTGACTGTTGAGCTTCACTCTAGATTGCCCCTTTTCCATGGTGCAACTGTACCCAGGATGGTTTACGTAGTCGAGTAAAGTGGATTCCTATCTGTGATAGGCATGAAGAATCGAGAGGAAAGATCCCAGCATTTTTTTGACACATCAGTACCACTAATGGATGATGGAGACGGTAATGCTCTGTACGATCGGGTACGTGAAGGGGCTAAGAAGTGGCTGCTGTACATTTGCACCCCGTTCTGTGTCTGACCCCTGTGCAGTGCGAATGGAGCGGCCCTGCTGGACCTGAGGGCCCGCCAGGTGATCCTCGCAGCAGGCAGAAGAGCCGCCGTCCTGTTTCTTCCTTTTCCCAAGCCGCAGGAGGCCTTGGCGCTACTTCCCAGAGCCTTCGGAAGAGCGGCAGTGCCCACTTTCTCAGGACAAACCCGGGAAGCACCGGGCCATCCCGGAGTCCCTGCATGGCTGCTCGCTGAGCTTCTCTCGTGTGTGTCCCTTGCTGTGGCCACAGTGCCATAGAACCCGATGCTTTGGGGAGTTTGCATCTTTCCCATTAGGGAAAAATAAGTGCCTATTGTCATGTGTCTTACAGATGTATTTTTCATAAGTTCATTTTCCTTGAATTATATCTGAAGTGGTATAGCATCCGTTTCCTAAAGGGGAGACTCTGCACTGTTGTCTTGCTAGGGTTTCACGGATGACCAGCTGGTGTTGGTGGAGCAGAATACACTGATGGTGGAAGAGAGGGAGCGAGAGATCCGCCAGATTGTGCAGTCTATTTCTGACCTGAATGAAATCTTCAGAGACTTGGGAGCCATGATTGTAGAGCAGGTATGTGGCCTTTTCATACTGCCATGTTTTCCTGCTGTTGAACCTGTTCCTTCTCAGAAGGCTTTGGCTGTGTCTTTCTCAGGAACCTAAATGTGTGCCTCTGTATGTGATATATGTGTACATATTACAGGTGATATACAATGCTGTCATTTGCTATAAAAATATTCACACACTCAAACATAAAGAGAAGTTCTAAGCCTCTGTCCCTGCCCCAGGGTACTCCTGTGTACCATCGTGTGGAGCTCTGCTTGATTTTGACCAAGTCCAGCACTGATTCTGGCAATAGATAAGATTTCCTTTCTAATTTTGGCAGGTTATTGTGTAATGGCCATTGGAACCACTAGCTTTCAAGTAGAATTAAATTGTTGTTCACTGTTAGAATCTGATTAGGGCATTTTATTATCTTGCCAGCAGGGATTCGGGTCCTGATCCCCCAGAAACCAACTGCAGAATGGAGTGTTCAGGCCCTGCAAGGTCCAGTTACCCTAATTACTCCCATGTCACCCTGTGAACTGCTGTCTCTCCTAATCCCGTGTGTTTCCACTAAGAGTCCTGTCACGCACAGCTCAGTGGCCCCTTCTTCCTGGAAAAGCCAAGAGGTTAAGCAGTTTTCAAAAATTTTTCTTTGAGGCCCAGATTTGGATTTCGGATGGTGCATTGGCACTTCCACACTGTGTGACCCCTGGAGAGCCTCCTGGAGGTCTGTAGACAGGGGGTCTCCAGGCCTCGCCACCTTGGCGTGAGCTAGCTGGCCTCTGCCTACTGGATTCCAGTGTGTAAGCGGCAGGTGGACAGCAGAGCTGGCCTTTTGCTCTCAGAGCCTATGTCCACTGAGCACGTAGTCCCTTAAGCCCCAGTAAGTCTGAATACGGCATATCCTACAGTGGCCAAACCTAAAAAAGGAACCTCAGTTTGGATGTTTGTTTTCAGTATTGAGGATCAAGTTCAGGACCTCGCGCTTGCCAGGGAGGCACTTGGGCCCCTGAGCTGTGTCCCTGCCCCCAGGAAGTCAGTTTGCTGGCGTTTCTCATGAGCTAGATTTTACGGCAACTCTTCTAGCATGCTGCCACCAGGTACCTCATGCTGCTCAAGGGTGGATTCCAAGGCTTCCAGTGCGCACCTTCATCACACATTAGGGAAAAAACACCGTGGCACATGATGTCTGTAATTTGCGTGTCTCGTGTTTGAAGTTCAGCTGCCCTTGTTGCAGTTGTTGATCACCTGTCACTGTCCTTTATTACTCAGGGTACGGTCCTCGATAGAATTGACTATAACGTGGAGCAGTCCTGTATCAAAACTGAAGATGGCTTGAAGCAGCTTCACAAGGTAATAACATTTTTCAGTCAGTGGTTGAGAATTTTAGGAACTATTATCAAATCTCAAGAATTCATAAGAGGATTCTCCCCTGCATAGCTCTTCAGCGTTCGTGTTCACGGTTGGCTATCAATGCAGTCATGTAAAACGTACCCCATCATTTCGTTTGAAGCTGACTGTGTGGGTTGTTGCCATTTTACTGCAATTTACCTTTCCGTATGTGCCTTGCCCTGAGAGCAGAGCTCCATTCTGTGGCAGTCAATTCTAGGACTGGGGCTTTGCTTCTTTCATCTTTTTGAGACTTCTTGTTTGGAGGCATCAGTTGAATGGGTATGTGCTAAGACGTGTGCCAAGAAGCCTGTCTGCTTACGGCGGCTGCCGCAGACCTTGCGTGTGCTGCTGTCCTGGTGCGGAGCTGCTGGTGGCGGGTCACTGTGGACATGAAGCCCTAACGTGCCCCTTCGTTACCGCAGCATATCTGTGTGTTACCTGAGAAAGGAGAAGTTTGGGGAATGAAATAGTACGGTTCTCATTCTTTGCTAATGAGGTGCCATTTTCAGGATGTTTTCTTAGTATTAATTTCTCTCTCTTTAAAGAAAAACAATTGAAAGCATCTTAGAAATCTCATCATCAGTTAGGATGACGAACTGCTGTGTGCTGGTGTATAATTGGACATGTATTTTCTTTAAAAGGAAAATAATATTTCACAGATAAATTCTATTTATTTCCTTGTTTCATTGAGACTCAGTGGTATTTCTAGGCAATTAATGAACACCTTTCCAGTGCACTAGTGTATTATGCTATTGTTTTTCTAAAACCAGTCACTTCTTACAGCAGATTGCCCTCAGCAGTGGCATCAGGTTTTCAGAGTCTAGCCTTGCACACTCCAGCCAGAAATCCTGGCCTGTGTTCAGGGTGCTGCTGCCTGGTGGGGGCAGGAATGAGGGCAGCACATAGTGGGGAGAAGTCTCTCCTTAGATAGGCAGAGGCTTTTTATGCATTTAGATAAACCTGCTCACCAGGCTCTGTATATTAGAAGTGGAGACCAACTTTAGTTTCTCATTCTGTAATACCCAGGTTTTGATATGCTGCTGAATTATGCATGGGTTTTGAAGTTTCTTAAATAAAAACTAGTGAAACATGTTTTCTATTATAACACAGACAAAGGGGAAAGCCTTCTCTGCAGAAGTGAACAAGTCTAGTGGGAAGTAGAAATTTTGTTTTAAGTTGTACTTTATAAATCATTGTGAGAGGTTTCTGAGCATAGTACTTGGTGTGGCTGCCCTAGTGTCTGTGCTGTTTATGAGAGAGGAAGGTGTGCTCCATCTTCCCTCAGACCCATGCTGACACTGGCGTCCTTGGTGGGGGCTCTGGAGGATGCTTGAGCCTTGGGAGTTGCTCTCCTGGCTGCACTCTTGAGGTGGTCTCCTGAGTTCCTCCCACTGGGGACCCGTCTAGGCAGGTGGGTGGGCTCAGTGTTCAGCCTCGGATCAAGGTAGGAGAGATAGCACACGGGCCTCCTTGGACCGTTGGTTCCATATTCCTGGGTGTGACACCTGCAGCCGGCTGTCTCTTAAGGACAGAAGGAATGCATGTTTCCATATGTGGGGCTCCTTGCCTGACAGCCAGGGAGTGGGAGTGGGGAGAAGCAGGTCTACGTAGACGGGGGGCATTGCCCACAGCGTCTCTGGCAGCCTCTGTCCTAGCAGTCAGTTCTGAACTGGTGTTTTCTCAGGTCCAGGGAGATAAGTAGCACCAGGGGCCCGGAGCTCTTCCAGCTCAGTGGACACTGAGGGAAGGTTCCTAACACAGCCTGGCCTGCAACAGAAATACCATTCACTGTGCAGGAGAACCAGAGCATTGCACAGGGAAACGGAGACCAGCTTGGGATTCTTGGGAAAATGACTGCCTTTTTTCCTCCTCTTTCTGTAGGCAGAACAGTACCAAAAGAAGAATCGGAAGATGCTTGTGATTTTAATATTATTTGTCATCATCGTTGTCCTCATTGTTGTCCTCGTTGGTGTGAAGTCTCGCTAGTGACCTTGGGTTCGCTGTGTGCCACCTCATGGATTCCCTCACATGGGGGCTCAGCCGCACCCACCTGCTGCATGCCAAGGTGCAGCCAGCGGGCTGGGGCACGGCGGCGAAGCTTCCATAGAGTCCTCCTCGCTGTTGTGCTCCAGGGAGGGGAAGGGGCCTTTGGTTTTTGTTTCCATCACTGTCAAGTCTTTAAGGACCCTTGACACTGTTGCAGAATAGAGATTGGTTCTGTGATCAACTATAATAGATATATATATATATATATATATTTTTTTTTTTTTTGGAAAGTGAAAACGAGTTGCAAGTTTACAGGCACTGCTGAAGCTGCTCAGTGCTATGTGTGTGGATGCTATTTTTTTAGCAGTTATGTCTGAGCAGCATGCTAAAATAATTTTTGGAAAAAAATTTTTAAGCCATTTGATTTTTAAGAAATTTGGTACCAAAAATTTATGAGTAGAGGCAAAAATGCCTCTTCATTTTTCTCTATATATTTTCCAGTTGAAAACAAACTAAGAAGTCCTTTCAGAATTTATAATGCGTTCTCCATTAACTTAATTTAGCTTTTCCATCACTGTTAATGATCAGAGTAACAAAGTGTGAAAAATAAGAAACCATCATTGATGTTAATTAACACATATAGATGGGCCAGTTAAAACAGCTTCATAAGTTTAAATTAATTGTAAATAGAGTATTCCTCACTGAAATCCCTTGCACTGCATTTCCACTGTATACCGAAAGGGGTTACCAAGCAAAAGCATCAGAATTTGGAAGTTGGTGATTTGAACCAACCTCACATTAAAGGAGAGCTTGATCGTGTCACAGAGTCACCAGACTGAGCAAGTGTGCCTCTCTGGGTGTCCCCAGCCACCTCTCCTCAATCCACTGCTAACTACATACTGACCTGTTCAGACCAGACTCCATTTAATGAACTGTGAATTGACACAGAGGCCATTTTCAATGGGTTACCCCATTTAGGATTAGTGGGTCTCAAATTATTAACCAAACATCACTCCATTTCAATGTAAAATGTTTCACCAGTGATTTGATTTATTGGCCTTCCATTGCCACTTAGCAGTGCCCAGAAAGTAGGCATACTCCTGACAATCTGGACTGGAAAGTCCTCTTGCGCGAGCATGGGTTGCCAGCGCAGGCCCCCCGCTTACCTCCCTCTTATCACTGCTGTGGTGCTTGAGTCTGTTCTTGGACCTGTATTGTGGGGAGTGATGATCCCTTTGCAAATGGCAGTTGTTCATGTCTCATTTGCCCTGTTTGAGTTGATATCAGTATAATTTTGGTGGCTTTTGTGTAATTTTTGATGGCTTTTTCATTGTTTCTGCTCCTCTTAAAAAATTTAAGACGAGCGTGACCCCATTAAATGTGTTACATTGTATGTAGGCCAGTCACATCAATGGCCTCTTCAAGAATTGCTTCTGAAGTAGCTTCCAGAAACTTCCGCTCAAGTCATCTGAACAGACCGTGTCTTGACCCAAGCTTCCCACCTTGTACCCGCCTCCGGCAGCCTCCTGCCGGCTCACTGCTGCAGGCTGAGAGCGCGGAGAGCCCAGAGAAGTGCCCAGCATTCCTGGGTGGACATGGGTCAGCAAAGAAGTGCGGAGAAGTCATTTCCTCCTTCACCTCTGAAGGGGGGCCTGCGGAGTTGGACTGTGACTTAGGGAACTCACCTGAAAAACAGTTCATGGAGGTCATGCTGGGTAACAGAAGTTTCTGAAAACACCTGGTCTTACCAACCCTCAAAGGAAATTGATTCTTTAAGAGAGGACCAACATTTATTTATATATATTTCCCCAAATAGAGTAATTTGTGTTGCTTTGCCCCAAAACCCAACCGGGTAACATAAAGGATCAGATTAGAAGTGTTTGAAGAAGCTTGTGTGAGGGCAGGGGAACTGGCCTCGCGCAGCAGTGACTGGTGCTGTGGGATGGGAGACACATGGGCCAGCCTGGAGCGGGCCCAGAGCCTATGCCTGATCTGCTGGGGTCTTTAAGCCACTGTACTTTTCTTTTGAGCCTGTATTTGGGGGAAGACTAGTAGCATTTGAGAAAGTAAAGGAAAATGGATAATCATGTCCTGGTACCTCAGGGTAATTCCCCCTGAAAGAGATGGGGTCCTTGGCCTGCCCATAGGCATGCCCTTTCGTCCCTGCTGGCTGCGGAGGTGACAATCACCCAGGCCAGACTCTCCACTGGCCTGGGACCGCCCTCCAGGAAGGGGCCTGGCACAGGTGGCCCTGCTTTGGGCACCTGGGCCTAGCCCCAGAGCCCCGTCCCTTCGTAAGAGTCCTGGCTCCTGTCCCTGGAGCAGGCATGCTCATGCGCATTGTGCAAAGCCCTGGTCCTTGCCGAGGCTGCACCTGGAAACTGCTGTCTGTTCTTCCGCTCGGGGTGGGTGGTGTGCTGGCCAGGCCACGTTGCGTGAAGCCGTGTGTGTCTCTAATTTAACGGATTTACCACTTTCTCTGCTAATTGAGAAAGCATTATTTATTTGTTTTGACACAAGTGCTTGCAGTGTTTTATCCCAGTTAATGGCTTCTTAAAGGTAATAAAACCCTTCAACCTAATTGGTCAGATAAGACTTTTTTCTTATATGCTTAAATAAAGCAATTAGTGAAGCACTTCTACCCAAAATGACTTTTTTTGTCCTTTTTAAAAAATTAATTTACTTTTACTGGAAACTTTTTGTACAATAAAGCAATCATGCAGATTAAAGAACATCCTGCAGTCCTCGTATTAATTTTGAGGATGGGTTCATGTTTTCTCCAGACACATTTGTGCTAGGGGAGGGCCTGGCCAATTCTGTGCTCTTTTTGGCCAAGGACTATTTATTGTGGGTCTGGGGCCTTTGCCTCAGTGTCCGCAAGTCCATTTGCCTAATATGTGCTTTCAATAGGACTGATCTGTTTGCTGTCCGAACACAATTAGGGAAACTGCCCGAAAGCCACCTAATTATTTTTTATATGAAAACATGCTTTCTGTACACACCAAGAACATGTGGAAATCTGGAAGTAAAACTAGTGTGCTGCAGTGTTGCCTGAATGCAGGCTCCAGGACACTTGGCTCCGCGTGACTTTGAGTAGCCCCTGTTCTGTCACACCAAAAGCTTCTGGGGTGATGTCTGTCAGTTGAGCCCAAAGCCACGACTTTCCAGGTTCCCCAAGGGCTTGGAGTGGTCCTTGTCACCAAGTGTTGACCTTGACACGTGCACACACCTGGTGGGCGAGCTGTGGCCTCCATTTGTGGTGGGTGTGTTTCTTCAGTTCAACCTTGGCATCTGTGTGGGAGTCATCCGGCGGTGTCCTTGGCACACGGCGTCCAGTCCTGAGATGCCGCTGTTGCTCATGGCAGTTGCCTTCACAGCCTGTTGACAAACCAGGCAGAAGAAACAGGCTCGCTCCTCCACCTTTGAAAGGGGAAGGTAGATCCTGTCATAGGTTCAAGTGCTCAGACTGCCATTAATAACCAGAAGCCATCCATCCATCCTGATGGACTGTGGGGAGGTGGAAACACACCCATGGACATACAGGTTCTTGAGTGGAAACCTCTGGTTATGTTCAGTGGAGACTTTGGTGGCCCAGTTTTGAAAGGGTGCCACAAGAGTGTGCAGATCACGTCCAGAACATTGTGACTGAGCAGAAAGCCTTGACGACAGGCTCTTTCCAGAGGTGGTAGGCCAGTGTGTCCCCTTTGAATGTTTGTACAGCAGGATAGAGGTAGATTTTCTCTGCTAAATTTTGCAAATATTAAGTCAGATCATAACCCAAAAAGCAACCTTTCCCTGTCTGTCATTGTCACAACAGAACAATGTGCCCGGTCTACATAGTGTGCATCTCAACATGACAGGGCACCATGTCACTCGACATGCTGCCTTGGTTTTGATCATTGGTGACCCTGTTCTAGTCAAATCGTGAGGATTGTAAGGAGAGAACTCGTAGGATGGTTAGTTGGGAGTAGGGAAGACAGAAGAGCGTGAAGACCTGCTTCTCAGTGTCATTGGTGCACTGATTCAAAGCAGCAAGTTTCCATTTCTTGCACGGTCTAAGGAGCCAGACCCGATGTTAGCTGCACTGTAGAGGTTAACGAAACGTGTGCCGTGGATGGCAGGTCTGTGTGCACTGACCCTTGAAATCTCCTGGCTTTCTCTACAAATTCTCTTGACCAGCCAGGTGTCCCCTGCCACCTTGGGCCTGATGTTTGTCTTCAGCAGTGTTTTCAAACTGAGGGAAGTGCAGCCCCCTACAAACTGGCGGGAATCCGAAGAAGCTGACCAGGCCCTGCGTGACAGGCCCAGATTCCAGATTCGTGAAAAAGTGTTTCCCACGTAGGACTCGAGAGATAGAGGCAGTGGATGCCAGCTATGTGCATCTTGACCCCAACTGCATGACACCTCAGACAGATGTCGGTGTACCCCTCTCTGGCTGGGTTTTCTCACTCTGCAAAGAGACCTTCCACAGAGCCAAATGGCTGAGACTTGTGCACAATTATCTGGTCAGTTGAGGCAAAAGAAAATAATCATTTGTCCAATTGTCCAAATTAGCTCTCTGGACTGTCCTGAATGCTTGGGATAATTGTGTAGTTCTCCACTTTAGGGCCATAATCTGGCAGAAATGGACCATTTAGATGAAGCTCCATTCAACACAATGCACATTTAAATTGGGCTCAGCTAAAATAGACGACTGGGTTTAGCAGTGTCTGTTTGTCAACTGTAATTCTATAATTGCTTTTCACTAATCATCCAAATTCCACCATTAGTCATCACTTTTTCCCCCCTCCATTTTATAGACTTTGTAATGGAGGCAGAGGGCTCTGGTTGGCACCAGTGGTCTCTTTCTCAGACTAAGTGCTGAGGGAGTCAAATGTTGCTTTTACCTTGTGACCCAGGGCACCATGACAGGTCTCTGTCTTCATCAACTGGGGGTGCAGAGACTGTCTCTCCCCACCCAAATCTCCCCCTTTCCTAGATGGGGAAACTGAGGCCTGCCTGCACCAGGGCTTGCCAGGGTCACACACTGAGAGCAACTCGGGGCTAGAACTAGTCAGCCCTCTCACGTCCAGATCAGCACTATCTCTGCTGATGCCATTTTAATTGTTCATTTCTTTCCATAAAATTAAATGACCTTCCTGAAGAAAGATTTAATGGTCAAGATGTGATTTGGTAAAAAGCTTCCTCAAGGATTTTTTTTTTTCTTATTACAAAGACGACACTGGGCTGCAGCTATGAGAGATTTGCAAACAGTGGTGTGTCATTATCCCCAGTTCAGTTTTTTTGTGTAATTGGTGTGAAGAGATGGCTGCTGATGAATCAGCCTGCTGCTGAACAGAAAATAATGGTTCTTTTGTGACGTGACTCGATGTGCGTACATGTGGGCTTGTGGCTGTTTATAAAAGGTATATGTGTACATAAAACACTGAGATGGATCCTGCCATTTTAAAGTTGTGAATAATAAAAAATAGTCCCAAGCAAAAGTGATTTTACAATTGCCTGAGAATGCGGTACTTCATTTTAACACTATGCAATGGCTAGAAATTGATTTTTTTAAATCCAATTAAGCCTCAAGGTTGGTTATCCATTTAAAAGGTCGGATGAGTTAAACAATGACAGTGCCTTCGGTTCACGCTAATAATTAGATTTACACGGAACTTCCGCGCTCACATTGTGCTTTGTGGATGCATATGTTTTGTGTCTGCACAGACAGGCCCTACCCAAGTCCCCAGCTGTGGTGAGAGCAGGCCAGCAGAGCAGGGTCCCTGACTCGGTGAGCCCCCCACCCCGCCGGGGGCTCCTGGCTCTGACGCTCCTTCCCCTCAGATATCCGGCATCTCCTCTGCAGAGGCCAGGCCCCAGCAAACAGCCACCTTGTTCCCTGTCTGAAGCCCCAAGAATAAAGGGACCTGGGAAGTAGCCCCCCTTTAAAAAAGAGATTCAGGCACCACCTGGTTGCATGTGCTGCCAAATTAATAATGCAACCAATAAATCCTGTTTTTAAAATAGTATTATAGTGAATATTTACTACACATCCCTAATGTGTTAAGAAGAAGACTTGAAAACGTCTTTTTATGGTTCTCATAGGTAATATTTAAGTATTACTTAATTTATGAAGATGTTGGGAAAACAGCAACCTGACTGAAATGCTTGTCACCCCGCTTGGGCTGTAATGCCACTCAAGTTTTGTAAATCATGGAGAACAGACAAGTGATCTTATTTCAAATCCAGCATTTGAACCTGCATTGTGATTCATATAAGTAAGGCTGATGCATTTCAGTACTTTGTATCCATAACCATGAACCAGCTTGAAATATGGAACCTTCCAGATCCAGTGAGCAAAAAAATATATTGAATTTCCTCGTCATTGCCCAGGGGGAGGGGTTAACAGTTGTTGGTTAGTCCTTGCCGCCCCGGCCCTGTCCTCACATGGCCCTGCTGCCAAAATCCTTAGCAACAGATTTATGATCTTTTGAAAAAGATCTATATTCAGATACCACAGATAGATGTGTAATAAGCACAAGGATGTTTCTGAGGAAAATGTGACGCAGGTTGAGAGTGAATCTTTCAGTACACTGGAGAAACGTACCGTTGAGCAGGATCCTAGAAGCAAATGTTTTCCACAGAAGAGACTTTCTGATCAACATAAACACCTGCTTCCTCATTTGGCCTCTCCGGCGGCTCCCACTTGCCCAGGGTGGATTTGCATAAAGGAATGTGGGACCCCGTTTGATCAGTTAATTATTTCTCGTTTCCTTCCGGCAGCCCTCCCATCCCAAGGCTCCGGCTCTTCAGTAGACCCCTGAAAACTTTGGCAACTAGAGAAATAATTCTGCGGGTGTTTAGAAGTAAGTAGGAATTTAGTCCCTGAGACAGGAGGGTTATTGCTGTCCTGCGCTGTGCCCTTCCTAAGAGAATAATTTAGGCTGTGAGGACAGCAGGGGACTCCAAGAACAACCAGTTCAGCCCCTCATTTCATTGAGAAGCCCTAAAAACCAGTGTGTGAAGGAGGCTTTCTGCTGTTCATAAACGGCTCTGCTAGTACACGGCTATTAACACATTCCCCCCGTCATGCCGCGGACAGGAGACCGCAGACACGGCACCCACAGATCAGACACTAATGCGCACAGGGGTGCGCGCATTGTGCTACCTTTTGTGTCAAGCCCATGAAGCTATGTAATCCTATTTTTCTCGCAAAGAGATAAGAACGAGAAACTAAAGCTAATGAAGATGGCTACCAGTGAGGGTAAAAAGGTGGCCTGCAGAGGTCCAGTAGAAAAAAGGATTTAGGGAGTGGAATGAGAGGATGCCTTTGAACAAATACAGTAACCACGTGATCATGTATTCAGAAAAGAAAATGTCAAAAACAACAACAAAAAAAGCTCGTTACACTGAACAGAAACAAATATAAAACTAACTGTACATCACATTGTTGAACCATATAAATAATGCAATAAAATTTTAACATATCAGTAGAAAGCATTCCCAGAACAAAAGGAATAAAGAAGTAGCAGGTTTGTTGACAGGAGTAGAAGCTGGTAGTGAGTGGTACAGGAAGCAGCCACGGATATCTTTGGGAGGCCGGTTAGGGACAGGGAGAAGGAGGTAAAAGTGACCCGCGGTGGCAGGTGAGGAGGAGAGCCCTGCAGTGCGGCGTCGCCTGGAGGAGTCAGTGCTCCCCACCCTGTGGCTGTGAGGACCAGAAGCAAGGGCAAGGGCGTCCACGCCGCCG